TGACATTTTAAATAAAACTATCTTTTCGGATTTTGTCGCGGATTTATTTGGATTTTTGTTTCCCGACGTTTCGAATGCTATATATATATATATATTACTGAAATAGTCATTCTTATCGAGAGGCTGAATCTATAGTTTTAAGAATTTTTGTCTGTCTGTCTGTTTGTCTGGAAACGTATCACGAGAAAAGTACTATACCTATTTTGATGAAATTTGGTATGATGATAGCAGATATGGGTCAACATGTAGGATACTTTTTACTGCAGGAAAATATCCCATCTCTGAGAAATATATACTAAGCCTTAAAACATAACTAGAAACGATCCCGAGCGGAGTGAGGGCGAGCAGCTAGTTTTTAATAAAAAAGGATTTAAAGCTTCCAGTTGATAATAAAAACGTTACATATAAGACAATTCAAGGTTACGTCGTCTCAATGGAACAGGCGACAATAAAACTGAGTGGTTCGTCCCAATTTACTGCAACAAAGCCCTCACGGTGGCCATTGTACGTAGAAATGGAACGTAGAATTATAATTAACATTTTCCCTTTGCTTGTGAATAGAAAAACTATCTTTTGATAGTTGATTCAAAACGAACGGTAAAAGTCATTGACGGTATTAAATGAAATTTATCTTGTGAATGTATAAAAATATTATTTTAAGTAATGCTTTTGAATTTTATTTTAAAGTAAGGTTAATGGCAGGTTTGCTAGTTTCTATTTACTTACTGGAGAAAAATACATAGTGCTCGTTTTTTTCCACATGCCGTCAACTTTTAAGATTTTAATTACTTAATTTGCTTATTGCGATTATGATTTTGAAGAGAATCAATTTGCAAATAATGTATTTGGCCACCGACACGTATATTGAAGGCGATACATTAAAATGGATATTGATCTATAAAATTCAGTCAAGTCGAGTCGAGGCGAGTCGAATTGCGAACACCAATGGTTCCGTGCCATTTTACATGTAAATACGTTATATTAATATGACTTTTACTTTATGTACGTAGTAGATTTACTTCCATGATCGATTACGAACGTTAAAAAAATATTCTAGTATTTTTTATATATTATTATTATTTGTTGTTATAGCGGCAATAGAATACAGTTTGTGAAAATTTCAACCCTCTACTTATTACGGTTCATGAGATACGGCCCTCTGACTGACAGACATATACAATAGGGTTCAAAATTTAATAAAATTTTACAAAAGATTACAGAAATAAATCAAATAAAATAATATTTTTACCATAAAATTTCTTAGATGTTACATGAATGAGGCCATATGGACATTGTAGAATATATGGCAACATCATCAATAGAACGTCAGTCACATTTATAGCTTTTAACGTATTCCTTTGTTTTATACTTCACGTACTAACCATTCAATAGTCGCATCGTGACGTGTTTCCATTGTCTATATATATATAAAATGATAAACTGATTTCAAACAAAAATACAATAGTTCTATAAAGAATAAAAATACAATTTTACTTCGAAGGGAGAAAAAGCATTTGTTATTAATATTTAGTACTAATGAAGTATCTATGTCCTTTTCATCCAAATCAGTCCAATCAGTCCAGCCATTTGAGTGTTAAATAATTAAAAGAATACGAATATATATATATATATGTGTGTGTGTGTGTGTGTGT